GGACTTTAGAACATATCCCTTTGGACAGAAAAGCCTATAAACACACTTCAGGATGATTAATTAAATCCTCACTAACACATTTGGGAAAGCCTAGTAAGAGTGGATGCATTAAGAAAGAAACATCGTTTGGAAATATATCTTTACCCGTTTAAGCCAATAAGTGGAATGGGGGAGTTCACATGTATCTTGCCAATGAAAGAAGATTCTAGTTTCACGCAAGGGGATAATCGGCTTCATCACAGCAGACCGCGGTAAATCTACTGCGAACATTGAATAATCCATGTTTGATAGTGGTTCTTTTGTCTAAACATGAGTACTCACTCCGAAGACGCCTGCCGAATTACAGATGTAGGCTTGAAATTGATTCATAAGTCGAAGCACGAGTATTCGGGTAGAGCTCATCGACAATCAACGATCTGTCGAAACCACTCAGGTAAATAAAATGTAAAGCTTAGCTCTTCATACAGATTAATCCATGTCATACGTACCTGTTATGCTCTTTCATACTAATGGTTCGCCTTAGTGAAAATTAAACAGGTAAGAACTACTGTAATCTGAATGCTCAGCCAGATGAATATAAGCGAAGCAATAAAAGTAGGTCCAGTAAATGTGCTAATTTATGAAAGTGTGTTTTTTCTTTACTTATTTTCTTAGGCAAGGAAAATGGGCGTTACCCGGAAAGAATATTGACAACACCAGGAGGAAATCCTGCCTCTGCAATAAGATTGGCAACCCAATACGCAGAAAGCGGTGTCTGCTCGGCAGTCTTCATCACGATTGTGTTTCCCATGGCCAGGGCTGGGGCCAATTTCCATGCTTGCATAAGAAGCGGGAAATTCCATGGAATTATCTGGGCACACACGCCAACCGGTTCATGATGAGTAAATGCCATTATATTGTTATCTGCAGAAAAGACCTTCCCATGGTTCTTGTTTGACCAACCAGCGTAATATCTGCACATGCAGACACATACATGATAGGCAAATGGAAAATAAAAGTTAGATGGTAAGTACTTTGGCTCAAGCTCGAGCTGAGTAGACAGATAAACACACAGAATCGAAATATAAAAATAATTATCACAAATTGAGGATTAATTCTACATTAAAAGTGTAGAACCAGCGATACCATCGCCGTTGAAAATGAGTGAAAAAGATGGCTTCCATAGTAGCTAAATTAATCCTGATGATGCAAATAGGTAGGCAGGACAAATAAGCATTGGCTGTTGGGCCCAATACTATTGTTCTCCTGTGACAATAAAGTCTAAAATAGGTGGATTTTTGCTGCATAATTAATCAAAGATGTGGTCTCACAAAGTTGCTGTTATTCTGGTTTTATTACCGCTTCAATCAAGGGGTAACATGGGCTAAGACAATAGGGTCAAATCCCAGTTACAAGAACAGACTTCAAACCTAATTGCGATGTTTTCAGCTTAGGATTTAAGACAATAAAAAGGGCAATAGTCCCAGAACACATAGAGGATAGCACTCTATTCAGAAATGTTTTACCACATTTTAGTCACATTCTTGCAGGGTTCGTGTAGCTAATCTATTCGCAGTCAGTGTTTTGGAGATAATTACGAGCTAAAAGAAGCTTATCACTGCAGATTTACTGTGATTCTATGATTTGATTATTTGTAAATAAAATGGATGAAATTCATTAGCATATTAGTGCATAAATTTTACCCTTTTACAGGTTAAATTTAGCGAATAAAAGTAAGATTGTTCAAGTTTTTCCCCCAGGGTAGTAGCCATAACATAGCAATTAAAAAGGGTCCATCTAAAAACAAAATTGCGAAAAATCCCTTAATAATTTCACTTAATTGTATTTTGAGAAGTTCGTAAATTTACCCCATAGTAAGTCGAAGTAAGATGGAATTGGAGTTGTGACTGTTGATTTGGGCTTAAAGTCTGTGGAATGCTCCTTCAAACAAAATGAATCCATGTTGAGTTTTCGTTTGTTATGTGAAAGACGTGATCAAAGCGAAACCAATTTTCAACAAAATTCAGCAAAGCCTTAATCAAAAACTTTGTAATCTTAACAAGATAGTTAATTGTTCACTTCATGCTTACTCAGTATACTTGTAGAAAAATCAAGTTGATGCGTGAAAATAATATGG